AAGCCAGATGCTAGCGGGGCCATCACACCCTCTCGACTATTATCATCTCTCATGGTCCATCATGGCTGCCACATGGCAAGGTCGTCAGTCATAGGTGGGCTGGTTCGAAACGGACGCGAACTGCCCTTTCTCTGCAATCCACAGTACATAGTTGCAGCTGCGTAGGGGACAGTGCCAGGGCCGTCTATATCAATCTACGTTGATGATCCAAAGGAAGCCGCGCTAGCGCTGCCACAGTAGCCGGTTTGGAACGAGCGCTATAGGTACTGCCAAGTCTTTATGAGTGGGTCGTAGCCCGTCAATAAGGGTGCCATTTAGCACAGTGACTTTCATATATCGAACACTTTCAGCGACTAGCGAAGCACAGCTTTTTGTTCGGCAATTCGCCGTCTAAATAGAGAATTTTACAAAATACACACTATATGGAGTCCTTCTAATCCTCCGTGTTATTCTATTCGCTAGGAAGCTATGAATGCTTAAGACGTTACGATATAGGACCGCTTTGTGGCGAGATTGTTAATTCCTTGATACTAGCCAACAGTTCAGTAGACTAGGTCCCACCTGCTGCACCCGTGTCTTATCTAGGGCATGTTGCCATTAAGCCGAAGCTTGAGAGCCATTTGGCAACCAAGTCGTAACTTAACTCTAATATTCAGTAGAAAAGAGGACATAAAGAAGCAGCGGGAACCGTACGGAGATCTTTTTGATTACGCTCGGTTGGACGAATTCATTAAGAATGTGTGGCCTCTCACCCAGGCTGTACGGTCGCAGCAGGAGGAGAAGTTTGAGTGCCTGCGCGACCTTGAAAGCAGAGAATCAGCACTTCTGGCCGAGATTGGCGCGGAGGACATTCTGTCCGTACCTTGAATAGTCTTATTTGCTAGAGCAATTTCTTCAGTTTAGTATGACATTAGGTCTCTATGGTCGGCTACTTGTTATTTCGCCTCGAGGGTGCCGGCTGGCGATGCCTTGTGCTATTGCTCCTTGATAGAAGCTGAAGAAGACCAGACATGTGGAAACTAGGTCGAAACGGTGATACTGAGCTGACGATAATGATTTGGCTATTTCGTGTATCACGGAAACCCTTAGGAAAGTGGAATATTATTAGGGCACCTTACTCCATTACTAACCATACCAACTTGTTCTGCTACCAGCGGCAATGAAGTTATCTGTTACGACCCAACATGCGACCGCATGCGCCGTCATACGGCTAACGCGTGTGATATGACGCATGTCCCACTGATTTTCACCAATCACTCTTGATCATTTGCGAAACACCATGATCCGGATCACTGCGCTCACTTCATGATCCTCGTGGTCCACAAGTATCATCTACTTCGCGCAATGATCCCGTTAGTATATAGAAAGCTACGCTTCACTATAGTCAGTCTCTACCAGCTCCTTAGCTATCAATACAATTGTCTACGTAAGATCTACTATCTCGCACATAGACTGTGGCCCGACCGCTCAAGTCAACGACATCCTGGTGTACTCAGTTCATAAGTTAACGTTGAACTGACTTCTACTCTACCTACCCGGTAGCTAGTCTAGACCCGAATGTCACATTATCGCGCTACCATGTGTTTCGAAACACCAGAGCGCGGTATATGGGGCTGATGGATAGCGAGAAAACGAAGCTAAAAGCATAGCTCTATAAGCAAGGCCTAGGGAATGCCTTAGGTTCTTGAGCGAAGATCAAAAAGATTACAAAAAAAAAAAGAGTCCCTGACCACACGCTGTTCCATGCCAAGCCGTAACCCCTTTGGGGAGGAGTATTATCAGAGACGCTGGTGGCTGACAGCTAATAGCAGCTGTCAACCGATGGCCCTCCCATCAAATGCTATGTAGTCGAACCCACCGCTTCCCCCCTTATTCCTTTGCAAGGCTCGCCATTTACACTGTGTCGGTGTCGTCGAGTCCCCATCGGCGCCGTAAGGGATCTCAATCTCGCGTGCCGCCAGCTCGAACAGCGTCTCGGGGACCAGGTCCCACAGGTCCGAGGCGGCCAGCTCTCTTCGGCCAGGCCGTACGCGAGGGGCTGCGCCAGGAGGAAGGACGCGTCCACGTTGGCCTGCACCGAGTATATGCCCGTGGCGCTGAAGCCGCCGTCCTCGCACTGCGAGAAGGTTTCGACCCCCCGCATGCCCACCACCTCCGACTGCTCCTCGCAATCACACGAGGGCAGGCTCCGCAGGTTCGCCGACGCGCCGAGCGTCATGCGCGTCTCGAAGTAGCCGCAGTAGGCGATCTCCTTCCGCCGCGTCCCGCCGGTCGTGGTCGATATGTTCATCGACTTGGCCAGCGTCGCGTCTAGAATGACGCCGGTGGACTCGTCGTAACCGAGGTAGTAGTACTTGGCATGCCTCTCGGCCTGCGTGAAATGCGCCACCACTTCTTCTGGGGTCATCCCGAGGAGATCCATTACCTTGCGACACGTAGAGGCCGCGCCCATGCGGGCGTAGTCGCGGTTCTGCGTGAAGCGCTGGTGCGTAAACGTCACGACGTGGTCGTCGAGCGCCACCTGGCCCCAGACGCCCTCAGCCTTGTCAGCGAAACCTTGGGAGACGGGACGCAGCCCGTAGGTCTCGAGGTTCGCGCTGCCCGTCGGGCCCGTTCAGTTGGGAGGGGCAACACGGATGTCAGGCCGGAAACTTTCCATGCCCGACCAGTCGTCCCAGTCGGAAATCGCTACGTCGCGGTAACCCTCGCGCCGCAAGAGGGAGCGGCGGCCATCGTTCCCTGGGAGCTTGTCGCACACACGCCCGTGGCGGTCGTATTCGGAGCCGCTGGCGTACATAAAGGTCGAGCCATCGTCCGGCATAAACTCAACCTTATTAAAGCTGAAGTTGGAAAGGAGCAGGCTGCGGCGTTATCAATACTATCTTATCGCTATCGTACCTGTGCGTGTACGTGACCAGCACGTGACACCCACATACAGCGCGGATGCATCTTGGTTGAATGGCCACACGACCTCCAAAGTCTATCATGCCGTCCTTATTTGCCATGACATATTTGGTAACTGTGCATTCTCCTCAAAGATTTATCACAGGCTTCAAGTTAGAGGAGGGTTGGAGGCAGACCCATGGGGAAGTAGATGTCCATGGCAATAGAAGCGTTGCTGAGCCAACTTCGGGAGGCTATTTTGCCAAGGCGCGTCACCTGAAAAGACTTTTCAAACACAACTCCTGTGTACAATGTGCACCCTTGCACCACCTAACCGCTAGCATCGACAGCGCAAGAATCCACGTGATGGACACATGTCCAGCTCCACCCGCGAATGAGTCGCAGCTGGTGCAATACAAAGATGCTCCCCCAATCACCGCACCACCGGCAGATGACTCGCCACTCTCATTCCCAGAAGATGCTCTTGTGAGTATCTTTTTAGAAGAACAGCGTGGATGGAACTCGTTGACCAAGTAGGGCACGAGGCTTAGAAAATGTTGGAAAAGATTTACATAGAAAGAGGGACCCATCTTCGGGCAGGACGAGAAAATCTTAAAGATGAGGAGGTGGAGTATAGCGAGGGGCGGATGTGGCAAGCTACGCAGGTGATCGTTGCGCCCCTAGGACTCAAGACATCTGTGGGAACGTCGTGATTGAGTTATTCCCAATTGCTTATCTATTGTACTATTAATGATGTTGATGCTGGTATTGATGCCTCTCCAGTGAGACCAAGTTGATGTGTGGTGCTGGCTGTCCACGAACCGCGTCAAAAGTGCTCCAGCATAGGATCCTTTTCTAGATATGACTTGATCAACGCCATTCCCTGGACTGGGGCAGCAAAGTCGCAGTAGTAACCCTTGTCGTTCCTGTGCATGATACTCGCGGAAACTACATAGCGATCAGGTCAGCAAAAGTTTGCGTCCTCGCACTCGTCCGACGGGGGGTCATATGCTACTCACACCGTAGGGGCGAACCCGGCTTCGTTCCACGGCCGATGACCAGGAAATCAGGCGCGGCACCACCCTTCTCTCCATGGACAGCGCCGCCAAAGTCCAGCCCTCGCCAGATCCCGCACCAGTTGGAGACAAAGTAGGACGTGTCCCACGGCTCGCAGACATGGATGGATTGTCCACGTCGCACCATCTCTCGCGTCACAACCGTGCCGATCTCCATGTCTCTCTCGTCCTCGGCCACGTCGATGGCCAGTCGGTTCTGGTAGGCGATCTCGCCCACAGAAGTCGATGGATCGATCCGAAAGCGTGCCGTGGCGGCATGGATGCCGTTATGAATCCAGGCGTCGGTCTTACCGTCCAATAGGTTGGGATGGCGGCCGCGGACTGCTCCTTGCTCAGCATGGGATCGTCAGTAGAACCTAAGGAGTTGGGGAATACCCACGGTTCACGGCCTGGGACAGGCAAATGGTGCGAGGTTTCGCCTGGACGATGCAAGAGAACTGGTTTGGTGAGCATGGAACTTTGAACAGTACCGGCTACCAGGGGACAAAAGAAACCTTGGTCAATATAGCGGTGATAATGTCGCCGTCGCTGATGCCCGGAGTGCGGCCGTACTTGTCCTCGAGGAGCTTCGAGTGCCGTTCGCGCAGTGTCTTGATAAGCGAGCGGGAGAGAAACAGGATGCTCGACGTGTCCTGCCTGTAGGTGATGAAATTCGAAATAAAGCCCAGAATGACACGGAACCGTTCGAAACGCGCTCTGACTTTTGCCCGTCCCACTCGATACACCTCCTCCTGTGGCCACTCGGCGTAGGGCTTGAGCTCACCCAGCACGTCGTCTGCGTACCCGACCATGGGCGGAGGTTCTCTGCCTTCGAGCAGACCGAGCCACGCTTTCACGATGGCGGCCAGTCCGCCCTGATCGGCGATGGCGTGAGGAAGACTGGTCGCGATCGCGGTCGCATTACGAGAAAAGGTGATGTGGACGTAGAGAAAGGGATCCTCGGCTTTGTGAAGAAGTGGCCACTGCGACGGCATGAAGATTTGGTCCACTTCAGCTTCATCCGCAAGGAAACACACATGGTCCCCGGAAGGAACGTCAAGGATGGACGCGCTGCGCCGGAACGCCTCCTCATCTTCGGACGAGCTCCAGTGGAAGAGCGTGTACTCGGCGGCAAAGGTCTCTGGGATGTGGTATTCCAGCAGCTTGTCCGTGGGGCGAGGGACCAGTCGCGCGCCCAGCTTCCTCCAGTGATGTCGAATGAGCTGATCAAGGGCTTTCTGCAGCGCGCCTTCGTCTAGGCGTTGGTCGACGATGAAGCAGGTCCGCGTACGGATGCAGTCGACTGGCCTCTGCTGGCATGTCAAGGGAGCTGGAATGACCTCCATGGCGGCGGTTGTGGTGTTGTGAATTCAGTGAGGTCCCGCGCACATCAAGGCTTTATTATTTCTGGCACCAGGTCGCCAAACCGCCAATGGAGGGGATAGATAGGCGGCCACCCTTTTTAGATTAGACATTGGTTTGTGCAAGGTTCATGCTGACGTGAGACCCAGAAGCACCAGAGCACCGCTGAATCCTGAGCAGGGCTCCCTGGTGTTGCGCGCTAGTAATATACGGGGGTACATGTGCATAAGTCATGACCACGCGAGCGAGCCCCTTTTCCACAACGGTTGCCAAGGATTGGACTAGACCCAATTTGCATGAAGGAAGCACAATTTAAAAATAGCGCCCACCCATAGCGCCGACGCCCCTCGACATCTTCCGCATCGCCCATCCTAACATCCCGTCCAAACCACGATGACCACTGTACATGTAGCGTCTCGCACCGTTCGATAACTCAAAACCAGCAGCGCCAATTTCCTGTCGCTGCCTCTTGCCCGTGCTCAGGTTGGCTCTGGATGGACGGTCGCAATGGCAAGGGAGCACGCCGTCATTCTCGGGCCCTGGGGGTGGCTTGTCCTTTTGGCTCAGGCCGGCGGCATAAGTACAAGACGACAAACACATACTTTTGCTTTATGTCCAGCCGCTGACGAAGGTGGCAGCATTGACCCTTCTATACAAGGTCGTGATAGCCTTGTTTACAGGTGGACGCGATGGCCTCTCCCTCCACGAGTCCATTGCCTACAGAGGGATGCGCGCCTATCAATGCGGCCTGGGTGCTGTGCAAGTACAGAACCTCCTCCCGGGAACGTCCAAGACGTGTGCTAGGTTCGCGAAAGCGCGTGGCGTGCCGCATGCGACCATCCACCTGCCGGACGGAAGTACTGCCGCCTGGTTGGGCCCGCGTGAGGCCAAGAAGGTGGTCGTATTATTTCACGGCGGCGGCTACATGGCACCAGCTTTGACGGACCACATCTCGCTCGCCTTTGGTTTCTCCAAGCAGGTCCGGGGTGATGTGGCCGTTGCTGTTCTACACTACAGTAAGCACGTCACCTAGTTGAGAGCAGCCGGGCCACTTTTCTGAATTTACTTGATAGGCCTTGCCTCGGAGGGAGCAAACCACTACCCGTGCCAGTTGCAGCAGGCTGTGTGGTTGATCGGACACCTCCGCTCGGACGGTATTGGCCCTTCGGCAATCACCTTGCTTGGGGACTCGGCCGGCGCGCACTTGTTGCTGAGCCTGCTTTTCCATCTCGTCCATCCGGAGCCTCGCGTATCGCCCCTCAAACTTGACGAACAGTTTTCCGGCGCTGCCTTGGTCTCCCCCTGGATCAATCTGAGCACGACGTCCACGTTGGCGCAGAGCAGCACAGACAAGGATGTACTGGAAGCCGCCGCTCTCAGGTACTGGGCCAGCAACTTCCTCGGTGGCGTGCAGCCGAGTCCGTGGAACGACCAACTAACGGCACCGGCCGAATGGTGGCACAGCCTGCCGGTCGAGAACATCCTCGTGACGTACGGCGACAACGAGCTGCTTCGAGACGACATCAGTGTTCTCTGCGATGCGCTCAAGTCGCATCCCAAGCTGACGGTCTGCAAAGCCGTGGGCGAGGTCCACGTGCACATGGTCCTGAACAGGTTCCTTCGCATTAACAAGCCGTGCGAGTCGGAGGGTGTGTTGGTGGAATGGCTAGAACGCCGCTTGACAAATGAAACCTGAGAAGAAAATAGATGGAATCTAATGGTTGCCAGCGTTGCTCAGGGGAGATAGCCTGAGATGATAGCAGCACGTCCTTGATATCAATCTGGTGCGTTGTCTCCAACGTGCTAGCACTTACGACCGTGCCAGCAATCTCACACGAGGCCGGTGGTCAGTCATACTGCGCTGCAGCCCCCATGCCATACCGCCAACTCACCGTCAAGGGTCCTTGGATTGTCCTTTTCTGTCCGCTTGATTCGTGCTACAAGCTGGACATGGCTCATCTTGTTCGGGCTTCGCCGGGGATAACGTGGACGGATTCTGACGGACGGCGTGAGATGACAGTGACGAATTAAAGATCGGGACCGTGATGCCAAGAGCAGACTACTCGTAGTCCAAGGTACTGCCTGTGTCGCGGGTCACAAGTACTTACATAATATGCAGCCTGTAAATTCAACCTCCATCTGCGATCCTTATCCGATAAAGTTGCATGCAGCGGCCCCACGCATTCCTCCTCACTTCAAGGTGTTCCTGTTCTCACAAACTGCTGACCGCCGAGGTCGAATGAAAAGACGACAGACGACTACACAGGACTTTTATTACAATGGGATCAGGCTGTTGCGGTCCGCCAGCTCCAGCCACCGAGCTGCTTGCTGCCCCAGTGGAGGAGACGAGCATCTGTCAGGACGACTGCTGTGGTGGCGGCGACGACAGCGACCCAGGTCAGGGATGTGAGCCTTTGGACATTTGCTGCTCCTCTGACCAGTGCACAGGCAAGTAATCCGAAAATGACAGCGACGCGCCTGGTTGCTGCCGTGGCAAGGTAGCCCCATGTTGCGACACGTCTTACCTTGACCGTCTGGCCTTGCGGAAATGCAACATGGGTGACCATCTCGTACCCAGCGAGGACGCCCAGACACCAGCGTGTGACGGAGCTGCTGATGACAAGGCATGCAACCGGCACAACACCTCTGCCCTCGACCGCTATGGCGCCACTCTCTAGGCCCTGGGTCACCTCTGTCGTTCTCTCATTGCTCTTGGCCAGAAAACATGCTGTGAGATCCGCGAGCGCCATGCGGTGGCTGCCAATCTATGCTCCCCTAGCAAGCCATCCGCTCGCCCTCTCGCTCGCACCTCGCCAGGTTCCTCCAGCAGCACTGGCCCCGCCACTCAGGACCAGGCTGCCAAAAACCGCATGCGCCTGCACAGGACCTCTGGCGAGAGCGTCGCATTTGCCAATATATCATCTGCGTCTGCGTGCGCAGGTTCCTGTTTACCACGTGCTGCGTGCATCTCTTTGTCAGTGCTGATCATGTCGCCAATGTCTTCCGGAGGAGCGATAAGAGACCAATTACATTGCGCAGTGTACCGTACTTGACGAGAGGGTTTGACTTATTTAGTGGAACTGGACTATCAACCAGAGCAATAATACATTCAGACGCAATCTTGGTAGCGCACGGAGTGAATTTCACGCCTGAAACAATGTGTTCTTCCGTAACTGCGTAGAATCGGGAAGCTCTGACTATGGTCCTGCTTGGCTAAAAGCACTCGCCTCGTATCGTGGACCATCTCGGCGTTTGGAGCTGTAGTTGATGCTCCATACCTTCTTCCAACCCCCATTTTGGGCAATCGGAGCCGCGCCATTTCACGGTGATATACGTTGACACTAGGGGACTGATAGTCACCAAGGATGGCGTCGACTGCGAAATTTATCCCGCCGTCGGCAACGCGAGACTAATGCTGGAGTCCTGCCACAGTATATCGAAAAGATGGCTGTCAAATGCGACCTCGTCAGCTCTACAATCAATCGGATGATTCCCGTTCCTATTATTAAATATCGCATGTCTAAAGAGATGGGAAGTGCAAAAGAGATGAAACACAATCAGGAACTTGTTGGTTCACTGCTCTACTGCGCTGTGATGATACGGGTCGACGTCGCCTTTGCAGACTCACTTCTGTCTAGATTCCTGCAAAACCCAGCATCAGGACATCACAAGGCGGCGCACCAAGCCATCAGACACCTGTATGAAACGCGGAGCATTGCTCTCTGTTACATATCCAACCCAAGCATTTGCCGAATTTAGCACAAGGCAACGAGATCAAGTGCCAAGCTTGTAACATACTGCTTGATCATAAATAACACCTTAAGAACCACGCTCTTTGAACCCACGGAACCGTGACTTAGGAGTATCGATGCATTCGGCTATTTTGGTCTATCTATCTACTAGAAGGCTGCTTCTTTTCGCTTCAGCTAAAGACGTTGACGCTTATCAGTTACATTAAAGCAATATTATTATTATGCCGCTTCATATATATTGAGACTAGTCACGGCAAAGGCAGCCCGAGCTATCACTTGACTATTTTTGGCGAGAAGATTTCGTATTGCTTCTGGCTAGATTATGCGTGGGAATCACCTCTGTTCCATTGCCACCTTGGTCGCTACAGAAGAGGGCAGACGGAGGGTCTGGTATAGATTGCATGCTAGAGCGAGCGACGACGACCACTTTCCCGCTTTACTTCTAGACCGCCCACGGCAACCCCATGATAGGCTCGCAAGTTAGCCCCGAGCTCTCTGCGAAAAGACCACCCTTCCTCCTGATATAACCCTGGCCGTATCCTCATGCCCCTTGCCTCCCATGAAAAACATGGCCCGCCTGAGTATAGCCACTCCCTCTGATAGTCATGCCATCAACAATAACGTTGCCTGGCTTCACGCCAGATCCAAAGCCGTGTGTGTCCCCCAATTGGGTGAATGCTTGCCCGTCAATGTTGATGTTGCGACATTGGAGTCGGTGTGACTTGACATAGGCGCAAATCGTCTTGCTCAGCATCTCGTCATCGTTCTGGAGTACTCGGTCGAGTTCAAGGATACATTCATCGCTCAGGCTGCTGACTTCCTCCTCGCAAAGTTCTTTCATCCTCTGCTCATTCGATGGGAAGAGGTCCACAAGCTCGCTAGTAAGCGTAACAATATCTTCGATCAAGGAGTCGAAGCTGTCCTTCCCGTACAATGCCCAGGTGATCTTCCGTGGCAAGCTGAGGTTCCTTTGCCGCTCTTCAGCAACGGACTTGAGCGATTCTACGAGAAGTTTGATGGATTTTCCTGGCCCTATTTGCTCTTCGTCAAGGAGCTCCAGCTCCTTATCTTTGCCCTTCTTCCTCTTACCATCAGCATACTTGGCTGCGGCCTCTTGCGCTTCTTCAAAAGTAACCTTGATCAGCGCAAGCAATTCATATGCTCGAATGATGCCCTCATCAGTAAAGGGACCTTGTACTTCGACTTCATCCTGTAGAAGACCGAGGGGCTCCCCCCAGCGTGTCAGGCGAATATGCGCGGCTTCTAGCTTCGCTAGGCAGACGCCGTAGTCCTTCCCGAAGCGCTGACCGAGTCGGACATACTGGAAACAGTCCACGCAAGACTTGAATATGCCCGGAATGCCAGCGGTGGCAGTGACAACAGAGATTGGGTCAGTCATTTGAAGTGTAGTGTAGCGAGGGCAGACGGTTGCAGAAGACGTTGGCGATGACGCAGTTGCAAGGCGAAAGAAGAGCACTGGAACAAGGTACTGATAAGTGTGCCGCGCCTGGGTTTATTAGTCTCATGGATGTCCTTTGCCAGTGCATTATGGCAACGACGCGGCTACGGCCATTGTGGCTGTGAGCCGCAGTTGGGCGTATGCCTTGGCTGAACCGCCACGCATAAGCTGAACCGCCATGCAGCGCAGGCGATAAGCTGATTCGTCGAAGCATCTTTTAGAGATTTCCAGCTTCAGCTGACCAAATCGCTTGCCGCAACACTGCCAGCCCGCTGTTTGAGCTGGGATGTTGGGCTGAAAGCTGGGCTGAATGCAACTATTTCTTGGTGCATCTGACTGCCCCCACGCTTCTTGTCCTGTCGGTAGCCATCATTCCCATGCATGCTAGATGAGCCAACTTGCAAAATTGCCCTCGTTCACCAACCGACGGAATCAACTATGGAACGTCGCACAGGTCACCGTTTCAGTAATGTCCAAATCGGCGACCAAGCTCATGCTGTACTCGGGGACGTCTATTACAGTGCGATCGCGTTTACCCCACTTCTGCCGATCGCGAGCTAACACAACCCAGATCAATCGGCGTTACCTAGCTTGTGCAAGGAGGCCATCGACAGGGTAAAAGACTACCAGTCTTTCGCGTCAGATTCGGCTTCGCTGAGTGTCCAGCTCAACGCCCACCGGGTCCGGCTCGAGCGCTGGGGCCGCAGCGTCGGGCTTGACAACGGACAGCTCTCGGCCGAGCACGACCCGCTCCTCGACGACGACCAGACAAGATCGATGGTGGGAAGCCTCCTTACAATCATAAACAGCACTCTTGGGTCGGATGGGCGTCAGTACCAGGCCAGGGGAGTACCTACCAACCTAGATGCCACCCTGGGCAATATCAACCAACTCCGCACCCTCGACGGTGTCGGATCAAGGAGACGCAAGCTCACTTGGGCCCTGGGAGGGAAGGGCGATCGCACAATGCAGATCACGCAGCTGGGAAAACTTGTGCAGCACTTGCATGACCTGGTACCTCCAGGCCGGGTGGCGACCACGCCACCGACAACGGACTTGGGGAGCCTCGACGCCTTTCGAGGTGCCGGGCCGCTTGGCACGACACCGAGACCAGGGACGCAATCGGAGCATGTGTGGCTGGCCGAGATCCGCCAGACGATGGCCGAGTATCGCCAGGCCCTGGCCGAGGTGCAAGGTGAGATGGCCCGGACCAGCCCGTGACGCGACCCAAGCTAACCAGAGCGGCCAGCCGAGACGCGACGGGAGGTTCACGCTTGGCTGCTTGGCAGGCCTTCTCCGAATGAGCGGTACGACGAATCACGCAACAAGAGATTGCCCGGCACCTGCGACTGGATCCTCTCGCGGCCGATATTCGCCCGGTGGAGTGCCGCGGGCGCTGACCTACCCCCGGGCTCGCCTGAGCTGCTGTGGATCTACGGACCACCCGGGTTCGGCAAGACTATCCTATGCACGCGCATCGTCGAGCACCTCTTGGCCGTCCCCGGCAATACCGTCGCCCACTTTTTCTTCTCGTCCGATCACGAGAGCCGCCGTGACCCCTGCGCGGCTATACGATCCTGGGTCTCCCAGCTCGCGTCGCACCCCGAGGCGTACGCGCTGGTCCGCCAGAGATGGGAGACCACGCTGGACCATGTTGCCACGCGCGCGACTGTTGTCCAGCTCCTCCACGAGGTTCTGCAGGCTAGACCGGGCTGCTATCTCGTCGTCGATGGTCTTGACGAATGCACGGCACCAGCTGACGACAGCTCATCGGTCGCGAGGTTCCTCAAGGATGTCAAGGGCGCCATCACGTCGACAACCCGAGTCGTCGTCGTTAGCCGCGAGGAGACCGAAATTCGACAATCGCTGCGAGCCGGCGACTTTGCCCGCGTCGTCGAATACCAGATATCACCCGAAGACGTCAGCGCCGACGCTGCCACCTGCGCGCGGGATATCGCCGATAGGAAGTTGCCGAGCAAGGATGAAGACGTCAGGGCCAGCCTCTCGAGAACCATGGCCGACCGATGCGAGGGACAATTCCTCTGGCTGAAAATGCAAGAGCCATCCCTGAAGACATGGAAGAACCTCGGGCAGCTTCAAAAAGTCCTTGACAGCACCCCGAAAGGGCTTGACCGTGTCTACCAACGAAACTGGGAGAAGATCACGAGGAGTGACCAGGGAGACCGTGCGGTCGCTTTACTGCGATGGTCGGCCTTTGCCCTGCGACCGTTGACGATCAGCGAAATGACGGAAGCTGTGCTGATCGACGAGGACCACGAAGATCTCCCGGCTGACGAGCTCCCCGACGCCGTTGACGACGACTACATCCGAAGCGAAATTCTCGAGGTCTGCGGCCCACTTCTCGAAGTTCGTCGCTCACTCCCGGGCTCGGCGGCGGGGAAACAGACCCTCCACCTGGCGCACTTTACCATCAGGCAATTTCTCGTTACCAATCTTCCAACTAGGGGAATCTTGGCAAACGAAACCCTGAGGATATCTAACGAGCAGATCTAAAACACGCTCCTAGCAAGATTGTGCCTCTGGTACGTTCAGTCTCGCCAGACCTGGCAGTATGGCGCCAGTACGGAGGGATCACCGTTCCAGGCCATTCTCCGAGACTACTCCGCAGCATCGTGGCACGCACATGCGAAATCCGGTGTGTCGCTTGATGGCGATCTGGGCACTCTGGAACGCGTTCGCATATTCATGAATGAAGCTCACCCGTGCTGGAAACCCTGGAGGATGTGGTTTGACAAGCACGATGACGACGAAAGGAAGCAAGCAGAGGATGGGGATATCCCACCAGGGCCCTCTTACTATGCCCTTAAACTGGACCTGAGTGCCGTGGCTATTAGTCACATAAAGGAATTCGGCCCCGGACCGCTTACCGCCTCCGGTCGCAGGTCTGTGCTCGATCTGTGTTGTCTTCAAGGGAATATCCAAGCTGCAGAGGCGATCCTTGACGCCGGCGTTGATGTCGAGACGCGAGGGATCATGGGTAGGACACCGCTCTATACTGCATCGCACAGTGGCTGGGCAGAGCTGGCTGGGCTCTTGCTGGACCGCGGGGCTGAAATGGGCGCAGCGGACCAAGATAGAGTAACCCCAATACTTGCTGCTGCCGCCAACGGTCACCTCGAGGTGGTCAAGTTCCTGGTGGATAGGGGCGCCGATATCACGGTAGCTGATGACACTGGACTAACCCCAGTGCTGGCTGCTGCCGCCAACGGTCACCTCGAGGTGGTCAAGTTCCTGGTGGATAGGGGCGCCGATATCACGGTAGCTAATGACACTGAACTAACCCCAGTGCTGGCTGCTGCCGCCAAGGGTCACCTCGAGGTGGTCAAGTTCCTGGTGGATAGGGGCGCCGATATCACGGTGGCTAACAGCAATGGATGGACGCCAGTTAATTCTGCCGCCGAAAAGGGCCACCTCGAGGTAGTTAAGTTTTTAGTAGACAAGGGCGCCGATATCACGGTGGCTGACAACGCTGGATGGACGCCACTCAACTCTGCTGCCTCCAACGGCCACCTCGAGGTGGTCAAGTTCCTGGTGGATAGGGGCGCCGATATCACGGTGGCTAATAACGCTGGATGGACGCCACTCAACTCTGCTGCCGCCAACGGTCACCTCGAGGTGGTCAAGTTCCTGGTGGATAGGGGCGCCGATATCACGGTAGCTAATAACGCTGGATGGACACCAGTGCTTGCTGCTGCCGCCGACAGTCACCTCGAGGTGGTCAAGTTCCTGGTGGATAGGGGCGCCGATATCACAGTAGCTAATAACGCTGGAAGGACACCAGTGCTTGCTGCTGCCGCCAATAGTCACCTCGAGGTGGTTAAATTCCTGGTAGACAAGGGCGCCGATATCACGGTGGCCGATAGCATTGGATGGACGCCAATGCTTGCTGCTGCCTACGGCGGCTATCTCGAAATTGTTCGGAAACTCGAAGCAGTGCCCGGCAGCGATGTAACCCGGACCGATCATCTTGGTCGTTCGGCGCTGTTCTTTTCGGCCAGGCGCGGACATGTTCATGTCGTCGAATACCTTCTTTCCAACGACCGCATGGACCCATCCAGCGTAGACTGGTGCGGCTCAACGCCGCTATTCGCTGCCGTCGCAAACGGCCACTTTCGCGTTGTCGAACTTCTCGTTGCACGTTATGCGTCTTTTCTCAACCGCACCTATTTTCAAAAGAGCCTCCTATGGTGGGCTCGCCGCGGCGGCAATCTTGAGGTCACTGAACTTCTATTGCAACACGCCACCGAGGTTGTTGATTGCGTTGGTAACGACATGCCATGCGACCGTGTTTCGTTTGACGCAGCGCTGGCTTGGTGTGATGCATGTACTCTCTGTATCACGGATGCATGTTATCATGGCTGCAGCGAATGTGTTTCATTGGCTCTGTGCGGCGACTGTTTCCAAAGTGGATTCCAATGCCAAAAACCAGGTCATTCTGCGGTAGTGAAAGAGGCATAAGGGATTTAAAAGGAGCGTCTCGACAAGAGGAAGCGGATTGTAGGCGAGGAACATCAAGACAACCTCACGGCCATGAGCAACCTCGAACATGCATTAAGAACCCGACGAGCAGCATTGACGGAAGCGTCAGTACATCAGAGCATTCACACAGCTAACTATGTTGAATTTTTGCCCTCTGACATTGAAGATGTTGGATCTCAAGTATCTAGAGAAAGAACACACGAAGGAATGGTCGGCAAAGCACTTATAGTAAGGGTGTTCCTGCAAAGGGGTCCCTAATTCCGGCGCTTATGCAGGATAGTAGCACTGTCAAGAATGAGTAAAGTGCGTTTTGTGGAGAACGTGGGACGGCATCTCAGATCGTTCCACGAGAGTCCTTTGAAGAAAGCGCGATCTGAAACTGAGAAACCTGTCGCCGAGTCATTACGAAGCAAACGCGGAAGATTGCGAATCAGCGAACAACTTGCAGCTCACGTTCAACAGGAGAATAATGACACATTCGATGATTGTGGCGCTCTAGAAGTCACCCTAGTGTCCAAATCCCACGTGGGAATTTGTCTTCCTTCGGTCAAAACCACCAATGCTGGAGGCTCATTGGACGCCGCTGCAAGTAGTGCTAGCGAAAACGACAGCTCGGACAAGGGAAACGCTCACATCTATGCGTCTCAACTAAGCGTGTTTTTATCGACATCTCGATCGTTCCAGATTCTTCGAAAGGAATTTATGTTGCTGTTCCTGCCGATAAATCTCAGGCATGTGTTGGTCTCGGTGCCTAAGAGGCATATCTGGCTATCTCGTGACCAAGACTTATCGCTATCAAACGGAGTCAAGGCTTGGGTGGAGGATTACTCCCATACGAAATGGGATTGGTGGCCCCTTGAGCCCCGAAAACGTCTATTACAAGACGATGAGGGTCGGATAATATGGCTATGTGTACGCACGTGCGGATAAATTAGCCTAGAATCATGCGCTAACATCTTGCAGGCTTGCGGTCGAAGGCAATGGGAAGAAATATCGATCCAGAGATATGAACTTGTGAAAAGTATCTTAGATTTGTCAGATGACAAATCACAGTCGACACTACGATGCGCAGCAAGGCCAGTCTCGCCGGCGTATTGGTGGAGAGGTATAATTCGAAAGCTATCTCCATCTTTACCCGTCACCTCATCAGCAGCTGCTCAGAGATACACACCTATTGGAAACACAGCACTCACTTCTTCTGCAAAACATGCCTCTCTAAGTCCGCTTGCGGAGAGTATTCACACTGCATCTCCGTTCAGACAAGATTTGAGCAACCAGCAGAACCAGCGACTCACACAAGATGCAGCACCAAAGCCCGAGAGCTGGATATTACTTGGGGTTCAAGGACCGCGGGGAGCTCTCATACCGGCCCAGATTCTGATCACTGGTAATACAACCGATTACGACGTCGTTCAAAATATCCGGCAATGTTATCAATCACACCGGGGCCAACTAACGTTATGGCTCTCAGTATGGAAGATAGACTATTGTGAGGTAGTCAAGGTATCTGCAAACGTATCTCCCTAGCTACATTTGGCTCATACTAACCGTCACCAGTTCAGCAGAATGATATCTGGACGGTTGGTTCGTGAGCATAAAGAGCTTCCAGATCATGAGGACTACCAATATAGCCCCCGTGCTGGGTCAGCAGACGCTAAGAACCCCCCTCTCCCATCTCACGCGTTCGAGTCGCTCTCCCATGCATGTCAGTCTCCGTGTACCCGGTGGCTGCCCCATGACTGCATTCCTTGTCCTTTGGATATCATCTGGCTAGGTAGAACTCCCAAAAGGAGGAAGTGCTTTGAGGCAGCCAAGCCTGGAACGTGCTGGGGCTTCGAGGCTGTTTTCACCGTGTCTGGTATTACCGTTGTGCTTTACCACTGCATCATCCTCGCCGGGCCTTTTGCTTTTTGGGGCTGGTGGCTGAGAAGCCATCCGAATGATTTTCAGAATGCCTCGGTGCCTGCCACGGTCGTTCTATGTGGACTATCACTATTTTGGAGCGGTGCAGGAATTCTGACGAATAAGCCTAGGATCTGAAAATACATCTACTACCCTACCCTAGTCACTAATGCATAACTGAATATGAACCTCCGAGCGATGAGCGTGGCGATACATTGGGGTGTGAGGATGTGTGCTGCCGCCGGCTTTCCAGGAGTTGCAGCCCACTGGGACCATCCTTTTGTTGATTCAGGTACGAGAAAGCAGCTAGCAGGCAGAGGGGTGTATCTTGCCGAGAACGTAAAGGCATGTTGCTTGGCTGTCTCCTGCCAGCCGCCGGTGGAAGGTTTAAGATGAATCACAACCGAATGGAGGGACGGCTTTTCCGTTCATGAGAACGAGGGCATCATTTCAGAGGGGATCCACTGTAGAAGAAGGGAGTAGTCTCGAGTCTGCATGGCAGTTGTGGCTTAACGCGGCGGTTTCAGTGCTAACCTCTTGACGTGCTTCCACCCTGCTGTACGAGGGAACTATAATATTATAGGAGTCTGGGGAACATACTCTTACAAGTCTTCGGGCTTTCTATTGCCCTAGTCCTTGGCACAACGGTTCCAAGAATATCCATCTATGCCTAATAGCCTGCATATGGACGTCAAGAAAAGGTCAGCGGGTACATCAACCTGTACAATAAATCAGCAGTAGTAGCGTACAACCATCTGAAGTGGCTGCAGTGGAGCCAAAGTTCAGCTTCCGCGAGCCAAATCTACCGAGCAAGTGAGGCAGCCATTCCCCAACAGCACCAACATGAAGCATGCCGGAGATGCAACACCATGTACGATTCGAGCTTTCGAGGTGCCAGACTGATTAGCCAACCCCAATCCATCCATTCAGAGCCCTCGCTTTAGCGCGGCCTTCTAACCTAAACGGCAGAAGAAACTCTACTGATCTTAAGATGCAAAGTTCCAGTGATCACAATAAGAACATGTTGGTGTGCAATGTCAAAAGATAGCAAGTCGCGCAATATTGCGCTGAGCTAGCCCTTTTCTGACTAATACACAAATTAGATAATGCCTTCCCAAAGAATGAGAAAGGAACCGCAGAGTGCGATGATTTTCTCCAGATCGTTATGAGGAAATGCTCGACCGACTCGACGAGAACCTCCAGCTTCATCAGAGTAGTCGGTCGATATACGGCGGACGCGAGTGCCAGAATCTTCTTGCAAGGGTTTGCACCGTGAGAATCTAGCATTTGCTTGATCATGCGCCCGTAGAGCGGACCAAGCCCTGGTAGAAACTCTTTCACTTTCGCAAGCGTATGTCACTCTTCAACCGTAGGGTCAGGAAGTTCCTGCCATACCAAAACCACCCACAGGAAGGTCCCCTCGGTGTGGGAAGTTGGATGGTTGGCAACGATAGTCCTTGTCTCCTTGTCATACTGCTTGATGCGGGCAACCTCGTCTACCTTATACCGAATATACGAGTCTACTGCGCTAGAGTAAATGCTGGGTTTATTCAAAATGTATTTGGACCTTTTGCTCAGTCGTGCTCACCTTCCTATCGATATTCAACCAGTCGCGGCTCGTAACGGTCCACTTTGCGGAAGAAGGCTTTGTAACCAACACAAGGAGCATGTACCTCCCGATCTCACACCTGTCTAGGGCATCAACAGCTAGGATAGTATTGCTCGACTATGGAACTTTGTACAAGGCTTCCCATGCATTCCCTGATGCCTTGTTTCTTGCTGCTATGTCTGGTCTTGGATGGCTGCATGAATATCGCCAGTCGGGTCCTTGAGTTGCCGGAGTTGCATCTTGCTTCACCCCCGTATTGTACTGCTACATATCACTTTGCACAGCTCCTTCGGCGTCGTTGATGCTGCTGAGTTGACCCGCCCAATCAACGATTCCGAAGTATATCCCTGCTAACAACAGCAGCCCCGTAGCGCAAGATATCATTTGCGAACTCGTCTCGTAGTGCTGGCGTCGATGTCTCGCCCTTGTGTCTGTCAAGGAGTAGGCCTAACAAGTTCCAGTACCACTCCATCCTACACAGGACATACTGTATGCCTTTGCGATTTGCGAGCGCCTCATTGACGGGGTTCAATAGAAGCTATCCAATGTTAGCCAAAAACAGCACTTCATTCTTCTCAAACTCGACACCTTGATTCTTATAAGTTAAGTCTAGCCCGAGGGACATAATAGCTCACACAACAGCTGCTTCTGTAGCAGCGTGTACAGCCTTGTCCATGATGCCCCTGATGGCATACACTGCCTGCAAGCCATCATCGATGCCTTGCTTGATGCAGTCTTCCTTTTTTGCCTGCTCGGGCTCATCCTGAGCCAACTGCAGCATTTGATATGACTTAGCTTCAGGATTTATTGTCACATCGTTCCCCGTTCGACCGGCGGATTTGGTTTTCGTCTCCGTACGTTGGAGCTTCGTAGTGACAATCCTCTCAAACTCTTCCACCAACTTTGGTTCTTTGGCCCGCAAATCATTGTGCGCCTGGGTCCAAATTTTCTCCTGCAGACGGGGCAGCGGCAATGTTCCGAGTTCGGTCGCAAGCGGAGAGGGCGTTCCCTGCGGCGGGTCCGGGGTATTAGCTCGGATATCAGGTGCGTTGGCAGCGACGAAGACGTCCGTGAAGCAGCGGCTGGATTATCGTTACACAGCTTCTTGGCTTTGACTTTGGTTTGGCGAAGCAGATCGGATGGTATCGCCATCTAGTCTCAACAACTTGCGCCGGTACCGTCGCGCACCTGTTTGTAAATATCACCGGTACCGTCGCGCACCTGTTTGTAAATATCACCGGTGCCGACGCAGTGTGAGCTGACATAGTGAGAGAATTGACGTACGGGGGAGCTGAGATGCGGCTTGCTCCTAGGCGCTTGTCGGCCCAACAACCTGCGACACTGAAAGTGCGTGTACAATTGGTGTTTGACATAGTTGGCAGTTGTTGATCTAATATTCCGCCATACCTTGAGCCAAGACCGCCCTTCCGGCCCCTAAATTGACAGGCCTGTCCCGCCGCTTTTTGTGTTCCTCCTGACCTCATGGGGACTCCCAGGACGTTCGAACGATCGCTGCCCTAGTCACTGTGATTTGGGCGGCACCCGAAGCTCGTTTCCTCCTCAAGTCGCCCACCGAGCTCCGTTAGGTTCTCTTGGCGTTGATATTTCTCTTTGTCAAACCAAAAACAATAGCGTTCCACGGCAGTGGTTTTCCCACGTTCCATCGCAGTGAAGGCGCGAGGTCGTTTAGCTGTCTCCGACAATCTTCCAGAGTTCGACGATTTTCTGGTAGGAGTCGATATTCTTGCTACTCGGACCTTGAAGCAATTGGCGGCTTTCCAAACGTGTTGCCCAATCTACTACCCTCGTCGAGTATGTACTTAATGTCGAATGGAGCGAATTGACACTCTTGCAGTGACATGAGCATTGGGCTCCTACTTTGATCAAAAGGTCACTGACGGTTGCAACATTCACAGCAAATCCAAAAATTTCGGCCAATCATGAGCTGATCGGATGTAGGAAGCAGGCGTTGTAAGTGTGAACGCTTCTTCGTGTTTCATTGTCTGGGAAAGCCTCCCTCAGCTAAATTTGATGCAAGGTGTTGTTGGCCGCCTGACCGGCCGCCGTGCTTCGCCAATACATGATGAAATATTCACGGAGTAAAAGAATGCTGTCGACCGTTTGCGCCTCAAATATTAAAACACATTACCATCGCGGCGTTGAGCTCCTACGGGGAACAATTTCGGTTTGAAGAGACCAGAAATGGATGTAGTCATGTACCTGACCTGAACTGAACTGTATTCCTACCCGGTTTTAGCCGCGATTGTTCCGCAGCCATTTGCGGCCAGCGGGGTTTGGCAGACAGTCAAGGCGCTAAAGATGAACCGCACTGCACCGCCCCACTTCGCGGTGCGATCAGCTCACACTACCTACGGCTAGTGCCGTCGCTAGGTGTTTTACCCGCCCAGCATTATTGTTAACACGGCGCTGCTTATAATAGTGCAAGTCCTGAGATGAATTAAATAATTGTTCCTGTTGCTGTCAACGTGGCGACGTAGGTTCTTCGACCATCTCTGACCACGCCGATTAATTAAGTCATAAAAAGAATCATTAGGTGCTATTTCGACTAAGTAAAGGCCATAGATCGTCAAGACCTGTGCCTTCTCGCAAGTCACTGATCTAGTAAAGTGTCTACCCCGCCTTTCTTCCTTGTGATGCTCCCAATATAAACTTAGTGACATGCTTTGTGGTCTTCCCTGATCCTTCCTCTGCGTATTCAATCTTTCCCGACTCTTATAAAAAATGGCGCCGCCTACACCACCATCCGACCGCACAGGCTTCCGTGTCGCCATTATCTGTGCTTTGCCTCTCGAAGCAGATGCCGTGGCCCTTCTATTTGACCATTGTTGGGATGTAGATCGCGATACATACGGTCGTGCGGATAGCGATACGAACTCCTACATAACTGGTCACATGTGCGGGCATGATGTCGTTCTGGCCGTGCTTCCAGCTATGGGCACAACGAACGCGGCAGCAGTAACAGCCAGCCTGAGAGGAAGCTATCCCCGTTTAACACTAGCCGTGATTGTGGGGATCTGCGGAGGAGTGCCCCGAATCAGTGGATATGACGCTTTTCTAGGCGACGTGGTTGTGAGTCGAACAATCGTCCGCTATGACTATGGCAGGCAGTATCCTGGCCATTTCATAGTGAAGGAATCGATCGAAGACAGTCTCGGCAGACCGAGCAGCGACATTCGCGGACTCCTCGCCGTATTCCAGACGGAGCACGTGAGGGAGAGGTTGCAGGAAAAAGCAGCCGGGTACTTGAAAGATTTACAAGCCAAAGCTGCGCAGAGAAGGAGGCGCACTGGCTATCAACACCCAAAATCCACGGAGGACAGGTTGTTTTTGCCAGGCTATACTCACAAACACCGAGCTTCCTGCGATAGATGCCTCGACGATGCCCTTGGTTTTTGCGAAGCGGCGACGAAAGCGTCGTGTAGTGAACTTGGCTGTGATGCAACCAAGCTCGTAGCGAGAAACAGTCGTCACCAAGACAGTGACTACCAGCCAGAGATCTTCATTGGACGCGTTGGGTCAGGGGATATGGTCATGAAGTCCGGAACAGACCGAGACCGTATTGCCGCCCAATATGATCTTATTGCCTTCGAGATGGAGGGAGCCGGCGCGTGGGATCAAGTCCCTTGCATCGTTGTGAAAGGCATCTGCGACTATGGGGACAGTCACAAGAACAAGGGGTGGCAAGCTTTTGCTGCGGCGACTGCTGCATCAGTAGCTAAAGCTATGCTAGGGAGATATGCCGTGAGTAACCATCTCGCTAGCGCGAGTTCGGTTTATGACAATGGTAGGGTTATATACCGACATTTTTCATGGTATCGTGCTAAAGTTTATAGACGAGACGAAGACGCGAGCCACTAGAACCGTGTCTCAAAATTCATTTGGCAGTAATGCGCGCATCAATTTGGGCGATGTGAGAGGGAATATGATGTTTTAAGCCGTTTTGCGCTTCGACTTTAGAAATCCTGCCGAGTAAAAATTACGATTTCGTGTTATTTAAGGGCCATTGTTAATCTAATCTGATTATTAAAGTTAGTGGGCTCGATGTTCAGCGGACTCGTTTTCAATCGTCAAGCACTTGTATAATTGGTTGCTGCATGTCACGTGTTACTCGTCAAGATTAATCGACCAATTCCACGTCAAGCGCAGCTCCGCCTTGGGGTCGCGCAATGTTGGTAGAACGCATTACTCCGTTCAGCCTCACGTCATCGAGGTTTCGAAAATCTCCGTCGCCAGAACCGCCATTGAAACCAAATTTCCAGCACTATGTCAACGCTACAGCACCGCAACGTCTCGGACAGCCATTTCGGCGACAATAGCACCGTAAACCTGGGCGACGTCGCAGTCCACTACCACCTGCCCCACCGACCGGCCCGCGCCGCCGTGCGCGTCCTACCCTATCCCCGGAACGAGGATGTCGTGTACCGCCAAGATATTGTCCACGAACTCGATCGAATCCTGCCACCGAGAACGACAGAGCACTGCTCTGCAGCACTGCACGGCCTAGGCGGATCAGGGTACGTTCTTTTAATGTACATTTACGACCATAAAAGACTTATTGCGGTAGGAAAACACAAATTGCACTCGACTACGCGTACCGAAGATGCGCCGACCGCGATTGCTCCATCTTCTGGGTGCACGCTGACAGCGAGGCCACGTTCGTTCATGACTTCCAGATCATTGCGAAAAAGCTCGGCTTGGATACGAGTCTTAGTAAGGAAGATCTCCTTGATGCGGTGCGCACCTGCATCGAGGCGCTGGAGAAATGGGTGCTTATTTTGGACAACGCCGATGATCTGTCCCTTTTTGGGGTGGCATCAGGAGGACAGGAGACCCTGCGAACGAATCTCTTCGATCACATTCCTCGAGCGCCGTCGGGAACGATACTTTGGACGAGCCGCGATGAAAGAATCGCAGGGACGCTAGTCGGGCCGAGGCGAGGGATCAAGGTTGGCAGCATGATACAAGACGAGTCGATCAGGCTTCTCCAAAATTACAGAAATGCAGAAGCGGCCGGAGATATGTTGTCTGTTACGACTCTTGTGGAGGAGCTCCAATGGCTCCCGCTCGCTATAGCCCAGGCGGGTGCATATATGCGAAGGACCTTAACAACCGCTCAAGAGTATCTCGATATGCTAAAGAAAGGAAAGCAGCGATGGGAAATACTGCAAGAAACTGAACCAGACCGCCATCGACGGCCACACGTGCCTAATAGCGTACTAGAGACGTGGTCGATCTCCATGGAGCTAATACGAAAGGAAAGCGAAATGGCGTATAGGATGATGTGTGTTGTCGGCTACGTGGACTACCGAAACATCCCATTCGAGATCCTTGCTAGAGCTAGTGGACATGGTCAACTCGACGAAGATGAGGACGATAGAAAACTCGAGGTCAAACGGGCGATCACACGACTTACTGAGTTCTCTTTTCTTAGTATTGTGGACACAGCGAACGGCAACCATGAGTACGAAATGCATAAGCTTGTGTCGGAAGCGGCGCGATACAAGCTCAGCATGCGAATGTCAAGGGACATTGCTATCAATGTCAATCGAGAGCATGGCTTTGGTAGCGCAACAGATGAGGCGTATATCTCAAAGACAGCCCTAGAGATCATGCAAGACCTATTCCCTGTGTCAAATCGGGGGACATGGTGGAAGTGTGAACAATATCTGACTCATGCTATCGCGGCAGGAGGGTGGGCTGAGCTCGGCGGGATGCAGATTGAGGCAGCGGAGTTACTCAGCCGGGTATCTCACTTTCTTTATGATCGAGGGCGGTGGAGGGAGATAGAACCAGTGTGTGAAAAAGCGCTGAAATTCCGGAGAGAGGTGCTTGGAGAGAAGCACCCGGACACTATCGAGAGCATGGCCTCACTCGCGAGGACGTACCATCTTCAGGGTCGCTACGGCAAGGCTGAGTCTATGGTAGTAGAAGTATTAGATCTTCGGCGCAAGGTGCTTGGAGCGAAGCACCCGGGTACGATTGAGAGCATGGCCGATCTCGCGACGACGCACCATGCGAAGGGTCACTACGGCAGGGCTGAGTCTATGGGGATAGAAGTGTTGGATATTAGTCGCGAGGTGCTTGGAGCGAAGCACCCATACACAATCAGTTGCATGGCTTTACTCGCGGCGACGTACCATGCGCAGGGTCAGTACGGCAAGGCTGAGCCTATAGAGGTTGCAGTTCTAGATCTTCGGCGCGAGGTGCTTGGAGAAAAGCATCTAGATACGATCGAGACTATGGTTAATCTCGCGGCGAAGTATTATTCGCAAGGTCAGCACGGTAAGGCCGAGCCTATCTTCCTAGAAGTGCTATATCTTCGGCGTGAGGTGCTTGGAGCGAAGCACCCAGGCACGATCGAGAGCATGGCATCACTCGCGGCGACGTACTATGCACAGAGTCAGTACAGCAAGGCTGAGTCTATGGCGGGGGAAGCACTGGACATTAGTCGCGAGGTGCTTGGAGAAAAGCACCCCGATACCATACAAGCGATGCAGAGCCTTGCTATTTGTTGGTACACTTGCGGGCGCCGCGACGAAGCTCTATGTCTCATCCGCCAATGCTTGGATAGACAACGAGTAGTTCTTGGACCGGATCATTCTTCGACTAAAAATTCTACGCGAATCCTTGCCGAATGGGACCGGAAATCTCGCCATGTGCTCAAGCGTTGGACTGCGAAGACATTGGCTATACTTCAGCCTACAAGGCAATAGTCCGGCAGCGTCTTCCACTTTTAAAATACAGCGGTTTACTACCTTGAATATGGGTAGGAGCCGCGGCTTCACCGCGAGAGTACATACTATAGTGCTAGTAAGATGCCGTCCCAATTCCGACGTGATAATTCCTCCGCGAGACCCTGTGTTGTTTGAGCCACTTGATTCCAAAAACACCGCGCAGAACCCGGCGGCGGATGCGATGAGTCTTTAAGTCATTCATTGCGGATGAAATTGAAACTTTGCAACAGACCCGGGTTCTTTCGAAGGACTCAGTGCCCAGATTGAAGGAAATCACCCGAAAGCAGACTATTTCGAAAGTCGAGCAGTACTCAGTCCTAGATTCTCGCAATATGTCTGATAAAAACCAAGTCGAGCCCCCTGTCAATGCTTGGTTGCTGAATTCCGACCAGTCTGGGGAGGTGGCCCCCGAGAAAGCCGTCGATTTGTTGGCCAACCAACCCTTGCATCTCGCACACGTCTGAAGCCGGCTTGTCCCAGAAGGCACAGCAGGGTATCACAATAAGCTTATGTCGTGGCGTAAAAATAGGCTAATTTTTTCTACAACCATGACGTCGATAAGTGGTCACACTTTGGGTGGCCTTGCCAGGGTTGGTGGACTTGTCATCTTGAGCAGCACTGTTCTTAGCGTTCGGACGACCCATGGTTGACATAGCCTGGAGGAACGAGACACGTCTTGTCTCTGGCGGTCCCGGCCTTATAGTAGCTTGCAAATCATCGACTGGCCGTTACATTGTGCACAATCAGACATTTTTGGCTGATTTTTACCATCTCCTGGCCGCACAGACTTGACTCTCGAAAAGGTTCAATCCAGTACCGGTTGTTGCATAGATACAGGCCGCAATTGGGAGCCTCCACAGTCCTTAGTGTCACTGATGGTCGAGTGCTACAATGACTACATTTAGGCGTTGTGTATAGAAGTAGACATACTTACTGGCGGAGAAAACCCCTGTCCACTTTCAAGATCAAGTGTAGAGTGCCGTGAGTAATAAAGGGCGAAAGCGGCTAGGGTCTTCCGATGTGCTTATGTAGCAAGCAAGTTAAAACGGGGGCGAGCGTGCTACGACTTTCGGGTTTCCGTATCTGCGACTTAAAGAGCTCCATGGCTCAAATCGACGGAAACCTTTTCCCCTCCGAGACGGAGCTTTGGCTGTTCGGCACACGTCTGAATACGAATTAGTGGGATGACGTTTCCTGGCTGACCTCCGACTGTTGGACAGGCGAACCACAGCTCGATCATGACTCTCGCACGGTGCTTAGTGTATAACCTACTTCAGACAAAGCGTCGGTATTGTGTGAGTTCCTCAAGGGTAACACCGCCACAGTCAGCAGTGAGACTGTTCGAAAGCGGTTCTATTGCAAAGTTTGGCGCTGCTCGAAAAGCTACTCGCGTGCAGAACATCTGAGAAGTGGGCATCTCTGCTTTCGCATCGCAATTAGAGATGCAGACACTCTCACCACAAAAGTCAGGACCCTTCGGCTCAAGTCAGCTATTGTTTCGGTGACAAGGTATGATAAGTAGTCGCAAGTTACTCACATAGCCGCAGTACCCTCGCTCTCCCGAGCAGCAAGCCCCGTTGACACAAGGCGAACCCGGGCCACAAACGCCGTCCTCTCGTTGGACTAAAGAAGAGGGGACACCGTCTAGACCCTGGGACGAAAATAGTCGCAACGAGTCGGTGGGCTCATGGTGATCGACGGGACGCTTCCCATTACTAAAGCTCGGAGTTTTCTCTGAGTACTTCTCGAATCGCGGACGATAGACGGTCTGGTTGAGGACTGGATCTTGGCTTGAGAGGGCATAGTACTTAGTGTGCCCCAGAGCTCTGTGCGAATGCTTGCCGGCGACAGAAGGCACCATTTATAGCAGAAAGCAGAGAAAGCTCAGCAGTCTCGGAGGACAAACATAGGCAGGGGGCGCAATCATGGCGCTGAGCGGCCTCGTGGGAGAATACTTGCTTGTTGCGACGATTTGACTGTGAGAGAATGAGGATTCTTGCAATAACACTCTTACTAGAGATGCACCAAAGAGTTCCGATTTGTTTGGGCTGTAATTATTAATAAGAATAACATAGCGCGTAGTTTTCTTAAGGCAAGAGGGAATCCAATCACTATCACATGCACACGCAGGCCAGAGCTTCGAGGGCAGCGGGCTTGCGACATGCCGTCTTGGCTACTTGATTAGCTATAGAATGTCTCCGCTAAAGTGCATGTCCGAAATTACTTCGCCCGACGCGCGTTTGGCCTTGCGGTGAAGTTTCCACTGTTTTGCTGGAGGATTTTCTTTCTCCCTCACCTAGCTTTATAGATTGCATAGCCGCCCGCAAATTATGATTTTTCTTAGCCGGTAATTACCTCTTGCTTTTTCCGAACTAGAACGATATTCGGATATGTATCCCTGTAGCGGCCGATCGTCACCGGGTTGTAGCCTGGGCCCTGCGGCCTGCCTAATTAAGGGGGGCGGCGTCGTAGGCTCGCAGCAAGGGCTTAACCACAGCGGCAGCTTTTCGCAGGCTTGCTTAACCCTTGCGAGAGTCCTATTCACGCATAACTTACATATTTAGGTCACCTCCTCCCCTTCTATCTAATACGTACTATATATCTCCCCGAGAACCATAGCGCTTGCCCCCTCCTTAGCCTAAATAAAGGCCGCGTCGGCCTTAAGGCTTGTCGTAGATATCGGCTTTCCCTCTTTCTAGTATCTACTTCTCTTACCTTCCACGATGCGGATTGTGCACCGACTTCTCTCCGTGGGGTCCTTTTCGACTTGTGTTTTTGCCTCCTTCGTGCTTTATGCCGGACGACAGCTCGGCTCGTGGGCTGAGGAAAGAGGTCTCTCCACCTTATGTATGTTAACTCTGTGAGTAAAAACCCTTAGCTAGAAAGCCCTGTCTTTTGATTAGAAGACGTAAGGATATGAGCTTATATGTTGTCTTTTAGGAATACCACCCTTAGCTGCCAGACGCAGTTCCTTGAAACGATCGTGCAGTTGGAACAGTACCAATGGAAGGAGTCCAGCCTTACCACTGGCTGTACAGAAGCTTGCGGCAACGATCTCGATGAGTGGGTAGACAACGTCAAGTCTGCGTGTCCGGATGAAGAGATGAGGGAAATGGGTAATTTCATACGCCCGTGGGCTCTACCGATGGTGTATCGACACCGGTATCAAATGGGCTGTATGAAGAGTGG